GTGTGTGTATACGTACGTGTGTGTGTGTGTGTGTGTGTGTGTGTGTGTGTGTGTGTGTGTGTGTGTGTTGTGTGTGTGTACACGTGTGTGTGTGTGTGTGCGTGTGCGTGTGTGTGTGTGTGTGCATGCGTGTATCTGTGAGTGTGTGTCGGTATGTGTGTGTGGGGAGTGTGTGTATGTATATTTAAAAATTTATATACATAAATATATATTTCTGTATATGTGCAAATTTGTATACATATGGATATATAGATAAGTATTCGACATGAATATACATATTTTTGTTTTCATCTATGTAATGATGGAAAACATTTATATGGACCAAGATATAACAGTGTATTAATGTGTATGTGTACGTGAGTATGTGTGAGTGTGTGGGTGTGCGCGATTTCTCGTTCGTATATGTGTTCTTGCATCCACATATATTCTCGATAACTATAGTAACTTGGCATAACCTTCTAGCTCGACGACCGTGAAACATTTAGTTGGGAAGAAAGACCAAGATAATCATACCGTAGGCGTATAATCATCCATCAGAGCTAGCAGTCTTGTCAGCTCTTTTTGTTCATCTACTTGGGTCTTCTCCAACCCGTACAAGTTAGCGTCACCGCTCGCACTACCGACACCAGCATCCGTATTTGTATATTCATGAGAGCTTTTGAGATTATCAGCCCGTGGTTGCCCTTCATTCAGAAGCCCTGTATTGGCATTCGCATTATTCCCCAAGTTCACGCCTGCATTCACATCACCATTTGTCATAGAGTCCATATTCATGTTCACGGCCATGTCTTTACTCGATCCCACGTCCATGTTGTTCGAATTCAGATTTATCTGGATCGGACTAGCAAATCCATCTCCCGTCTGACTTGCGCGGAGATGACCACCGTCCAAAGTTTGTGGAGAGCTATTGTTTATTGTCTGCGTATTGAGGTACTGTAATTGTTCGTTGTTTGTATTGAGGAACGCGTTGGGTTGAAGTGATTGGCCATGCGCGGTAGCTGGTGCTATATTCATAATTGTATTCGAATTGGCATCCAGCCGTGCTGACTCAGTATTACCGGCCACGTTGGTCTGCATCATACTTTCTCCCGTGCTTGTATCAAAAGCTGATGCAGCATCCCCATTGCCGGGTAAAGATGTGCTTTGAGGTGAGGGCTCCATGATTACTTTATCCGCTACAAGTAGCGAGAGGCGCAAGAGTGAACATACAATGGATAGTCGAGTGAGTAGTTGACTGCATATATTATATATTATATTTACAGTATATATTATATTCAAATACATCAATATATTTATTTTATTTATTTGGAGACTTGGTCAAGTCGCCGGTCTTTTTATTTATTTATTAAATACCCAAAATTTAAAAAGTGGTAGCGGACGGACACAATGGAACCAGGACAGTTCAGTCCTACAGTCAGTACAGGGGACGGTCCTACCACAGAGTAGGACACCGACCCTACATGTTACTCTCTCTAGTAGAACGAGACGGATAGACCAGGAGTCTGGACTCCTGGCTAAGACCACCAAGTTGTTCCAAGGGTATACTCTTTTGTACACTGGTTCTAGCTAGGCTAAACCAACAAGTATCCAACTAGCTTAGTTCCCTTCATAGTAAACAGTGTGTACCCCAACCTAGAGCAACTCTAGAACCCTACGACATATCACTGTCATCTGGTTCACTGGCACATAAAAGATTTTGTTAATTTCTACTATCACTATGGTTAGCTCATCACAAACAAGTTCAACCTCGGCTGTCCAGTCACTCCCCACTTGCTATGGCGTGCGATGGAAACTCATTTTCATCTTCTTCTTTCTTGGGGAGAAGGCTAAATTTTCTAGAAAATACACCCGCTTCCTAGCGGACGACGCACGTGTCGACTTCTTACTTCGACACGTGGACCAAGCCATACAGATTAAGATTCTGGCTGAACTAGGCTTTGGAGCCACGTTACGAATCATCGAGAGATACCTTGTTGCCCATTACGGGGCCTCACAAGCCTATCTCCACCGCCCTGAGAAATGTAAACGAAACGTCTTAATACGGCCCACTACTGCGATGATCGTACCAAACTGAACTACCTATCTGATTTTTCAAAGAATGGTGTCCTATCGATCATATACCGTTTGGCCGAGAGGGTTAACCCGACGAGACCAGACCTTAGCTCACGCTGGGATGCTGGGGTCGGCATACTTAAGTCGGACGAATCCGGCATAGAAGTTAAGAGTTCCTATATGCCTGTGAGACCAAATATACCCCCCCCTTCCCCCCCCCCCCCCCCCCTCCCCCAGCACCGGACGCCGATCTGAGTTTTTTTTGCGCACAGGGATGTAACGCCGGATGATCCCTCGCAGGACCAGAAGCAACAACCGAGTCATAGACGGCAA